AAGTTTTTTGATAGTTGGAATTGGGCCAATCAAAAACGAGTATGCTTGACGATACATATCAGTATGAAAAAATGGTTCAACAAATGAATTCAAATTCTTTCTACTCCTAAAAATTGCAGCAACAGCATGTTGACATGGATACCTATTTATTTCCCATTTTCGACATGAACAAGTTCTCAACCCAAGATCAACCATAACCAAAGGAAAACAATATACTTTGAACACATTATCAGATGATAAACTCACATTTCATGTCCTCTCATCTATGAAAGCCTTCTCCAACACACTATCCATACGAAGACAGAGGACTTTATTCCATTTACTAGAGAGCAGCCTCCTATCAGACCTCATATTCATGATTTGCAACCATATCTTGTCCACCAAATTTGTTATTGGCAAGGGTCGAGCTTCTCGTATCCATAAATTGAATGACTCAACAACATTTGAATACATTTCACCATAACGTTTCCCCTCAAAATATGCATCACTCCAATTTTCATATGGTAAACTTCTCAAGAAAACACTCATAATGTCTCATCCCTCACTTTTTAATTCATTTAACTTGAAATGGAATGATGCCTTTGTTGGCGCATATGCACATTTTGAAAACTTGGACACAATCATCTCCCTAACCAAATTTTTGTTTCCACATGATAACCTATCCCTCAAATTTCTCTTTAGATATTCAAAACAAAATCCATGATAGCAATTAGGGAAAAACCTAGCAATTCCTTCTACAATACCACAATGTCGATCTGATATGAAACTTATCACCCTCTCCAATCCTAATACTTCACATAAATGTTCAAGGAACCAAGCATCAACAACGGCAAAAGCTATAGGAAAAAACCTACAAAACAAATAGGAACAAGCATATTAGATATACACATGCAGAGAAAATTAGAACAATAAACATCCAGATAAAATTCATTGAAAATTCACACAGTGGCAACATCTAGAGAAAATTCACTTAGTGACCAACTATAGAGAAAATTCACACAGTGCCAACATCTAGAGAAAATTCACACGCTAACCAAATCCAGAGAAAATTCACATAGTGGCTACCTCCAGAGAAAATTCAAAGTGTCAGAGAAAAATCACAAAACATAACCACAAAAATAGAAAATTCACTCAATTCCCACATGTATAGAAAATTATATATATTTACAATTACATTTATTTCCATCTTTCCCTGTCGCAGCAAGCATAACTCCTTTGTATCGTCCTTTCAAAACTGTTCTATCAAGAAACAACAATGACCGACAATATTTGAAACCAACAATGCATGCATGAAAAGCCACAAACAATCTTTTGAAACGCTTGTTATCTTGAAAATCTAACTCAAAACGACTACCTGAATTGTTCTTCAATGCCTTATCAAAATACCACTGTAATTGATCGAATGACAAACAAGAATCCCCATATGTATTATATTTTGTTTTTTCAACCTCCAACCAACCACAGTTATAACTGATTGAGATCCCATACTTATCTTTCATTTCTTTGACAACATCCACTGGACGAGTTAAAGGTTTTACACTTACCTCTTCAAGTATCAGCGCAGAAACTAAGTTGGAAGTCATCCTAGCATGTTTACTAGTACGAACCACCACACCACACGTATGTTCATTTTTCAAAGTTTTTATGTAAAAGAACCCATTTGTTTTTTCAACTAAAGCATGTACACGTCACATACATCCTCTTAATTCCTTAAATACACATTCTACCGTAATCCTCAGTTTGTCATTTTTAACATACGTAAACTGAAAACCAACCTCAATAACATACTTGCATAAAACAGTACGGAACTCAACCACACCACCCTCAAACTTTTGTCTAACACTCGTAATATTATTTCGCCAACCAGCTGACAATAACACCTTTTCTTGGTGAGAACAAAACTTAGAGAGTGAATTCTTTTCAATATTCACGACCCTATCACATTCACCATGCACAACATCTACCCCATTAGACCCCACTTCATTCTCTTAATCATAAGTACTACACCTAATAATTGAAACATCAACTATATCAACACCACGTGCACAAACAACCCTCAACATATTCAGAAAATCAATATTATTTCGAACCATACAACTTGGATGGCCCACAATAGAATATGAAATTTACATCATCTTAGGTTTCAAATTTTCCTATGTTTTACACAAAATGCCAACCAATTCCTCAAAATTCAATTCGCATAAACATTAATGACAATAGTATCATTTCCATATTTTCACAGCAACAACACTGCACTGTCCATCTAAACTGAAAGAAAAAAACATGAAAAATAACTTGTTCAATATAAAAACACTTCACAAGAACAACATAAAGGTCCAAAGAAATTTCTAATAATTATAATTTTCTCTGGATTACAATGACAAGCTTATAATTTTCTCTGAACTTATATTCTAGACTCAAATATAAGACTAGAAACATTTACAAGCTTATATATATTCACCTTCAAGATAACAAAAACAAAATCACCAAAAACTTAATGAATCTAGAGAGAATCACAAAGAAATTTAATGCTAACTATTAAACACAATCATAAACAAAAAATCACACAGAAGATTTGTTATAAAATTGTAAGCTTCTCTGTGATTTTCACTGGACTACAATCTTACAATTTTCTCTATGTGATTGTGCAGTATTGCACTCAAATCAAAATCCAGATAAATTTACGAACTTACAAACACCTTCAAGATAACAAAAATCATTGCATTGTGTGAAAACTTATAATTTTCTCTGTGATTTTATCTGCATTAGAAACTTATAATAATATGCCTATATGAACTTATAATTTTCTCTGTGATTTTTATTGGATTATAATAACAAACTTACAATTTTCTCTAGACTACCAACAAAAGTGTAGAAAAAAAAGATAACAAAACTTAGAGAACAAAAAATGACAAGAAATTTACACTTATCTCTGGTGTAAAGAAATTTCACTAGTTTGAAAAAATAGAGAACAAAACTTATCATTGATAAGCATGTTGATAAAAAAACAGAGCACGAAAAATGATCTCTAAAAATCGAAATCAACTCCACTATCAACTCTCTTTGAAATTGATCAAAACACAGAGAATGAAAAATGAACTCCAAAAATCAAAATCAACTCTATCAAGCTCGTCTCTCTCTAAAATTGATCAATAACAGAGAATGAAAAATCAAGTCCAAAAATCATAAACAACTTCACTGAGCTGGCCTCTCTTTAAATTGATTAAAACTGAAAACAAAAACCTAATGCAAAATACACTTGAAAAACTAATATGAAATCGGAATTTTTACATACAATTCAAATCAAAAATTGAAATTCATATGGAATCTTCATAAAAAAACATACATGATTCAACTCCACTGAAAAACCTACACGATCAACACCACTACAACACCTACACGATCATAGCAATCTCCATCGTCAAGTCCACTACAACATTTGCAAAATCCCTACAAAATCTCCACCGTGAAGTCCATCCCCATGAAATCTTCTACAAAATAGCAATAAATATTTAGTTTGCCAATATCCAAACAAACGTATGTTATAAAGAAGGGTAAATTAGGTATTTTACAACCTAAAATAAGGTTGAGCGACTTTAGGCATAAAAAAATATTATTGTGGACCTCTCTTCCTACCAAAAGTTGGGCAAGATCTTAGACCAATTTCCCCCTTTATAAATCCGTATATTTTGACCCCTCTAACTTAAAAAAACATTACTTTCACCCCATGCAGATCCATTCTAAACTATATCCAAGAGGGTGTATTTATACTATTTTCATAGTTGAGGGAATAAATATTTATGAGTTCATAAATGAAACATTCGCTAATAGTTGAAGAGATCTTAGTGATACTATTTAATAATTGAAGAGGTCTTTGCATAATTAATTTTTAAATAATTCAGAAGGGTTCTTCTAGTCTTTTGGGAGAAAAGGAGGGAGGGGGCACTAGTTCATAACTTATATGTCCATGATGAAAAGCTTCAGAAAATGGTGTTATTTGGTATTATTTATTGTAAATTATAAGTTGATAATTTAAAATCATAAATAAAAAATGGAAAATGATTTGTCCCCCTAATTCCCCCCCCCCCCGGAATCCCCCGAAAAACAAATGGAGAAGAGAAAGAGGGAGAAAAAAGAGAGGAGAAAGAGAGAGGAGAGGAGAGAGGGAAACAGAGAGACAGAGAGGCCCCTCCATTCCGGCCCCTCCATTCCGCCCCCTCCATTCCGCCGATCGCCGATCGTCGTCGCAGCTCGTCCGCCTCCGCCGATCGTCGTCCCAGCTCTGCCTTCTTCTCTTCTTCTTTCTTCTTCTCTTCTTTCTTTCTTCTTCTTTCTTCGCCTTCTTCTGTATTTCTGATTGAAAAAAAAAAATTCAAACGATGAAACGACGTCGTTTCGCCAATTAGGGGGATTCGGGAGGCTGAATTCGAGCTCTCTAGCACGGTCCTTTTGAGAATGGGGATTTTTGGTTGCAAAAATGCCTAAGACACCCAGTGGGGGTCACTGGGGGTCATGAATGGAGGCTTCCCATTGGTCAAAAAAAAAATTGTTTTTTTTTTTTTTTTTGTGATTTGGACGAATGGCACGCTGCCACCTCACTGGGGGTCAACCCCCAGTGGGGGTCTGTAGCAAAGTCCTTTTGGTTGAGGAGGTAAACTGAGCGGGAATGGGGAAAAAGGGCTAAGCCTCGTTGTGTTTTTTTTTTGGTCGCAAATGAATATTTAAACAATAAACGGCACCGTTTAATTTTTTTTTTTTACAATGAGACCTACCAATCTAAACAAATCTCTTAAATTCAAATTTAAAATCAAGAAAAAAAAAGAGAAGAAAATGACAAAAGAAAAAAAAAAAATCCCGTTTCCTAATATTTGAGTTGTGTCTAGAATTCCAATTTTATGGGTTGTCTCCGAAGTAGCTACCGACCGAAGGAAAGTGAAAGAATTCTCTTAACCAACAGGTGTCCACCTAACCTATAGACCATCTGACAACAAATAAATTAAATCCGGACTGTCCCTAAATTCTTGTAGAGCAGAGACTTTTGATTGATCTAAAAATTGGCATCTCACGCTCTTTCTCTCTTTTTCCTATTTCTCTCTCTCTCCATATTACACTCGTATTAATTAAGCAAATGAAATCTTATTACTTCGGTTAACAAGGGGGAAATCTTGGTTCCACCATTTCTTGGTACTCTCTCTCTTAAAAGCGAGTAGGAGAGCAAAAACAGAGAGGAGAGGATGAAGATGGACATGAAAGCAGAGACGTTGACGCTGGTATTGGTCAATCTGGCTGGGATCATGGAGAGGGCCGATGAGTCTCTGCTTCCTGGAGTCTACAAGGAAGTCGGCTTGGCTCTCCACACCGACCCAACTGGCCTTGGCTCCCTCACTCTCTACAGATCCATAGTACAGTCGGCTTGCTACCCACTCGCCGTCTACCTCTCTGTCCGTCACAACCGTGCCCACGTCATCGCCCTCGGCGCTTTCCTCTGGGCCGCCGCCACTTTCCTCGTCGGCATTTCCTCCACTTTCTTTCAGGCAATTCTCTCTCTCTCTCTGCGAATCAAGACTTAACTATCTATGAATTATTTGAAATTATCATTTTATATATATTCTACGAATCTCATTCTACATCAATTTAATTTTCACTACACAATCACTCATCCAAAAAATATCTATAGACAGATAAATCTGAATTCGAGACTTGGTATTGAAGTAATAGGGAGCAAACAGAAGGTTCTTCCAAATTTGAGTTTAAAAAAAACCTAATTTAAAATGAATAATTCTAATATTTTTATCAATTTGTTTAAAAAATTCACATCTTATCCCAAAATTATCCCTAATGCTTTATCTCTTTAGATTTTTATCAAATTCAAATTTAATAAACATTTGATGAGTTGTCAATTTGATTTTAAAAAAAAAAATTACTCTCTTGATTTGATGAATATTTAATAAAATGATTGGAGATGATTTTTGATAATTTTTTCATTAAATTTAATTTAAATTTGATGAAAGAAAATATGAAAGATAGGAAATGCTCTCAGTATAAAAATATAGATTTATTGACAAACAAGTTTGATTTAATGAATGAATATAAATAGGAGATGGTGTTTGATGTAGTATTATTGTGTTTCTTGTCAATTGTCAAGGATTTAAGGACACAAAATGTGGTTGTGTTGCAGCAAAATTGAGTTTCTTCACGATTAGTTGTGTTACATGTGTAGATCGATTGGGGCCTGTTTGGTTGAGTTGGATTGGAGAAATGGAAAATTAGGATTTTTATTGGAATTTTGGGGGTTGGTGGGTTTTAGTATGGTTTTTAGTCTTGTGAAATCACAGCTTTTATAATTTAAATAGGCATAGCTTTTTTAAGAATTAGGTATTAATCTAAATCAGCATAGTTAGTTTATCTTTTAATTTTTTAAATTTTTAATAGGTCTTATAAATATTTTATTTCAATATCAAGTCTAATATGTTTATATTACAATAATAGAACAATGATATTTAATTATACTATTTGCATATTCTCTTATTAATCCTTACTTTGTATGTAGTCATAAAAGACATGCATGATATAATAAGAATACATCAATTTAACAAATTATATTTGTGGGATTTCAAAAGAAATCTTAACCCCAAAATCTCAAGTTAAATCAATAGAAGAAAACAATAATATTTGCGTACCTGACTCCATTGATAGAGTTAATCTAAGCAGTAAACTTCTTAATGATTATTGTCTTCCACTCGAGAACCCTGCTCTTGTTTGCTCTCACACACTGATGGAAAAATATGAGATTGAGGCTAGGGTTGAAGTGGGGACCTTAACCATATATTTATAAAGCCCTAATTCCATATTAGCCCATCACAAATAATAGAATTACAAGTGGGCTTAAACTGGTCTCTACACATATGGTTTAACCCATACTCCTTTAGTGCACATAACATGACAAAAAATATGTGCCATTAGAGATGTGCCCATAACCTGGTTATGTTTCTGTATGGATCATAATTTAATGAGTCTAACTGACACCACGCATACTTCATTTAACCTCATACTTTATTTAACAGAATACAATGTATAATTATTTGATCTATGTAGGCCCACCTATAGAAAATTCCTTACAATCTTCCACTGGTCAACTTGATATTAAACATTGTTAAATTTATGAGCTCAAACTTTTACCGTTAAAATTTATGAGTGTCATCTCTAAAACAATCTGGTCCACTAAAACATCAATATAGGATCATAACGACCTTTGTCGCATTTATCATGGCAAGACCCATCCATGGTCACAAATACCAATATCATCAATGACATAGATCAAGTATGGATGTGTAGCATGGAAATTTCATGTAAAATGATCCCCTATCATGTCTATGTCCAACTGATCCAACTTTATAACTCAAAAGAGTTCATGTATTAATTTTTTTTTTTTCAACTTTATGTTTAACCACAATAGAAAAGAAAAAAAAAAAAAATCTTTATTTCAGAATCATCCAAAAATAAACCAAAAGTGATCAAAGTAAGACAGACTTCCACTAACAACACACATCACTAGAACTAAACACTCCCATACGAGCTACATGCTCCTTGAATGCTTTAGGTGGTAAGCCATTAGTAAGCGGATCTACAATCATGAGGCATGTGCTAAGCTACTCAATTGACACATGATGACTCTGAACTCTTTCCTTCATGACAAGAAATTTTATGTCAATATGTTTTGATTTTGACAAACTCTTGTCATTCTTGGAATAAAGTTCAGCGGCTTTATTATCACAAGAAATCTTTAGTTGAAGTCCCAAGATAAAATTCCGCATCCATATTGCTTGATTGGATGCCTCGTAGCAAGCAATAAATTCAGCTTCCATGGTAGATGAAGCTATGAGTGCCTGTTTGACACTTTTCCATGGCACAGCTCCTCTAGCTAACACGAAAACATAACCAGAAGTGGATTTCCTACTATCGAGGCAACCAGCAAAATCAAAGTCTGAATATCCAATCATCTCCAAGTGATCAAACCTTCTTTATGTGAGCATATAATCTTTTGTTTGTAGATACTGTATTACCCTTTTAACTGCTTTCCAGTGATCCATGCCTGGATTGCTTAAATATCTTCCAAGCATTCCAACTGTGTATGCAATATCCGGACGCGTACAAACTTGAGCATACTTGAGGCACTCCACTGCTGAAGCATAAGGGATGTCCTCCATCTATTTCTCTTTCATGTTATTCTTTGGGCATTGGAGCAAACTCAATTTATCACCCTTTGCAATGGGTGCATCACCTAGTGCACAATTTTGCATTCCAAACCTACTGAGCACCCTTTCGACATAAGCCTTTTGTGATAAGCCAATTATACCACGTGATCTATCGCGATGATTCTGTATGCCTATTACAAAAGATGCATCACCAAGATCTTTCATCTCAAAATTCTTTGAAAGAAATCTCTTAGTTTCATGCAATAAACCCATGTTACTGCTTGCCAGTAAAATGTCATCAACATATAACAGTAGAAAAATAAATTTACTCCCACAAAACTTGTGATAGACACATTGATCTACAATGTTTTCCTTAAAACCATTATAGGAAATCACTTGATCAAACTTTCGATACCATTGACGAGAATGCCTGCTTGAAACCATAGATGGATTTCTTTAGTTTGCAAACTAAATGTTCTGATCCCTTAGTCTCAAAACCTTGTGGTTGCTCCGTATATATGGTTTCTTCAACATTGCCATTAAGAAACATAGTCTTTACATCCATTTGGTGAAGTTCTAGGTCATAATAAGCCACAAGTGCCATAATAATCCTAAAAGAGTCTTTCAATGAAACCAGAGAGAAAGTCTCTTTACAGTCAATGCCTTCCTTTTGAGTGAAGCCTTTAGCAACAAGACATGCTTTATATCTTTCGACATTGCCTTTAGAGTCCCGTTTGGTCTTAAAGACCCATTTACAACCAATTGGTTTTATACCCTTAGGCAATTCAACAATATTCCAAACGTCATTGTCTTTCATAAACTTTAATTCATCGACCATGGCATCCATCCACTTTAAGGAGTGAACACTTTGTTTGGCTTGATTGAAAGAAGTTGGATCATCTTCCAATCCTATGTCCAACTCATGTTCTTGGACATAAACGATATAATCATCCGAAATCCCTGATCTTTTCTCCCTATTTGATCTCCTTATAGACATTTCCAATTGAGGTTGTTGAGGTTCATCCGTATTAGTAGGAGGCAACTCAAGAATATTTTGATGGCTTGCATCCGCATCGTGTACAATGATAGTTGTCACCGTCTCATTATTTTCAATATTTACCATAGGAATGTCAATACTTTCCTCTTCAAATAAAATATTCCTGGGTTGTGAACTCCCACTACTTTCTGCATCCTTAATAAATTTAGCATTATCCATCTCAATAATGGTATTAGTGGAAGGGCAATAAAACTTAAAGCCCCTTGACCGTTCCGAGTATCCAATAATGTAGCAACTAATAGTTATTGAGTCCAATTTTCTTTCATTTGGCCTATAAGGCCTAGCTTCAGCTGGACAATCCCAGACATGAAAATGCCCAATGCTAGGGCTCTTTCCAGTCCATAGCTCATATGGGGTTTTCGCTACTGCCTTACTAGGTACTCCGATTAAGAACGTAAACTGCAGTCTTTAAGGCCTCTCCCCAAAGAGATTCTGGCAAAGAATAATGATTTATCATACTTCTAACTTTATCTTTTAGGGTCCGATTTCGCCTCTCAAATACACCATTTTGACGCAGGGTCCCTGGCATGGTGTATTAAGGAAAATGCCACATTCCTGTAAGTATCTCGTAAATGGCCCTGGACGTTGTTCACCTGATCCGTCAAATCTACCATAGTATTCACCACCACGATCAGATCTAATGGCTTTAATTTTCTTATCAAGTTGATTTTCAACCTCAACTTTATATGCCTTAAATACATCCAGTGCTTGTGATTTTTCATGTATTATGTATAAATAGCCATAACGAGAATAGTCATCTATGAAAGTGATAAAATACCGTTGACCATTCCAAGAAGCCGTAGGGAATGGACCACAAATATCGATATGAATCACTTCTTAGACACTTGAACTCCTGTTGACACCTAACTTATGTTTGTTTGCTTCCCTTTTATACATTCAGTACAAATTTTAATATCTGTAAAATCAAGAGGACCAAGAACTCCACTTGACACAAGCCTTTCTATTCTCTGTCGAGAGATATGGCCCAAGCGCTTGTGCCACAACATAAAAGAGCTCTCATTAATTAATCTTCACTTTGTACCATAATTTATTATATGCAAAGTTTCATTAAACTTTACGTGAGAAACATTTAAGTCTAACCTGTATAGATTATCAATCAAAAAACCTGTACCAATAAAATTTGAATTTTGAAAGAGACTAAATTTTTCTTTTCCAAATGAACAAGTATAACCAGATTTGTCCAAACAAGAAACAGAAATCAAATTCCATCTAAATGACGGTATATAAACAGTCTCATCTAAATCCAAATAAAAACCAGATT